GGAGTTCCCCAGCCTGTAGGTGTGGTGCTGGTTCTTCCTCCCCAGGTGCAGCACCTTGCACTTGTCTGTGTTGAATCCCATTCTGTTCTCATCCACCCACCCCTGTAACCTGTCTAGATCTAGTTGTAGCCTGTCCCTCTCCTCTAGCGCACTCACTTCCCCCCACACCTTAGTGTCATCAGCAAATCTGAACAGGGTACTTTTCACCCCCTCGTCCAAATCACTGATGAAGATGTTGAACAGCACGGGCTCAAGGACTGAGCCCTGGGGGACCCCACTGCCCACGTCCCTCCAAGTCGAAAATGTTTTGGAGTGCATTGTGGGCTGGAGTAGGTAGACACCAGAGGCTGCAGCAGGCAAGAGAACCACAGCCTGCTAGAAGCAGAAAGCAAAGTTGCAGGACAGGGAGCCAGTGCCTGATGCAAAGGGGAAGTGGTGCTGGAAGCAATTAGCACACTGGAGGGGGCCCATCTGCCACACACAAACTAGAGCACAGAAGGTGGGGGTCATTTTTAGAGCTGGTGAGCAGCTTGGAGACCCCCAAGGGGAGACGGTCAGATCTTTGGGGCAGGGATAGTCTCAACATTGGACATGACCCGATGAAGCCAATTGCGAGGAGATGCAGGCTACGCGATGCCAGTGGGGGCCTAGGCATGCTGGAGGGGGGGGATGTAGAAAGATTTTTGTGCCCCATTTCCCTAGGCATATGGGTGGACCATTGTCATCTCTCATTCAGTTCATCTCCTGCCACCTACCTTCTTTCTTAAAAATTCCTGTTCAAGTGAAGTTCCTTTCCGAGTGCTTTTCTGCTATTTATTGGGGGCCTCGAAATCTTTGGGCATGTGGATCCTTTGCAGCCATGTTGTGCTGGACACCTGCTATAAAGCAAGCTGCAGAAAGGACTGACTGATTGTCTTGTTCAGGCTCAATTGATTTTTGTTTTTTCCTACCAGTCCTAACAGTCTGGCGGTGGCTGCTCCCAGGCCTGGTGAGAATAAAACCATAAGCAGAATGAAAGGGACTTGTTCTTTCCCTTCAAGAGTTTCATAGTTTCAGAGTTGGGGAAAGCAAAAAAAAAATCCCTTGTCGTGCCATGAGGATGGCTTATGCCCTGTTTTCTTCCACTCCCGCCTCAAGCTGGGGCTGGAGGTTCGACAAACCGGGCGACTGTGTAGTCCACGGGGTTTGTTAAAGCACAGAAATGGCTTAAAACAGGCTCTTCTCTGCTTGCACCCCTGGGAGGAAGATCTCTTTGCTTTGTGCATGGGCAGCAAATGTGTGTCGCTCCCACGATGAGCACCGGGGAGTTTCTTTTTGGATGGCCACAAACAAAAGTGCTGTGACTGAAGGGAAGAAGTGAAATGTATCCACCTGGCCGGGGTGTTGCTGCTGCAGCTGCTAATTTAATTTCTCTTTCGCTGCCCCCCCTCCATCTCCTCTTTAAACCTGGCTGCCGTCTCCGGGTGGATGGGTGATAGCCAAGCCTGGGGCAGCGCAGTCAGGTCTCGGGAGCTGCTTGTGTGGGCTGTGAGCTGAGTGACCACATGCATTACTGGAGGTGACCAAGAGGAGGGTGGGCAGGCACTGGTTGGGGAGGATCTAGGTGCAGCGATGCCTGTGCTCTGCTATGGGCATATCCCAGGCTTCTGGGCTGTGCTGGTCGGCTTCCCTCCCTTCCTGCTACATGTCTGGTGGGATTGAAGGGTCCTTCAGAGCTGGGGATTGGGGACTGGGTTGGTTTGGCTAGGGCTGATTTTGCCTCAGGCAAGGGGTTAGGCTAGACAGCCAGTCCCAGGGCTCCTGGCCTTTGCTGCCTGGCCCTCGGCTTGTGGCTCACTGTCACATTATTGGGTCTGCTTGGGTCCTCTCTCAACCTTCTTCCCCACCCCCCCCAAAAAACCACCTTTTTCTGCACTCTGAGAATCACAGAATATTAAGGTTGGCAGGGACCTCAGGAGGTCACATCTAGTCCAACAATGACCTCAAAACAGGACCAGCCCCAACTACATCATCCCAGCCAAGGCTTTGTCTAGTCAGGGCTTAAAAACCTCCAAGGATGGAGACTCCCCCACCTCTCTGGGTAATCCATCCCAGTGCTTTACTACTCTCCTCATGAGAAAGTTTTTCCTCATATCTAACCTAAACCTCCCTTGCTGCAGCTTGAGCCCATTGCTCCTTGTCCTGCCATCTGCCCCCACCGAGACCAGTCCAGCTCCATCCTCTTTGCAGCCCCCCTGCAGGGAGGTGAAGGCTGCTATTCAATCCTCCTCAGTCTTCCCTTCTGCAGACTCAATCAACCCAGGTCCCTCAGCTGCTCCTCACAAATCACTTGCGCCCCCCGGCTCCAGCAGGAAATGTCTATAGGCCTGGAGATGGTGCTGATATCTTTAACTGGGAAAATCTGGTAGAAGGAATTCCAGCTCCTGCCTGGCCGGAGAGGAGACAGCCTGGGGGGAGAACACACATCACCCTTTCCCATCACTTTTACTCGGGGGGATCCGCTCTCCTCAGCAGTGCCTGCCACCAGTATCTCTCCTGGTCTGCCCAGGTGCCACCTGGAGCAACACCCACCTGCTAGAGGCCCACAGGTACAGGGTGGGGAAGGGTCTGAGCAGATGGAGCACAGCTGACAGCCTTGGTGGTTGGTCCTAGCTGCATTTCCCCTGCTGCCAAAGCCTCCCGGTGCCCCACTTGGCCCGATGCAGCTCTACGAGTCAGACAGGTCTCAGTTAGCCGGAGCTGAGCCATACTGAGCTTGGGGACAGGCACTGAGCCTTGCCCAGGACACAGGAGCTGCTGTGCACCGAGGGGCTTCCCCTTTGCTAGGACTGGTTGCCATTCCCCTCCTTGCTCCAACCAAAACCCAGCAGGGCTGTGGGAGGCCTCGGGTATGTGGCTAGGGGTCCAGCTGTGAGCCAGAGCGCACATCCAACCTCCTCCCCAGAGCATCTTGGGCACAATATGTGGCACTGCCCTTTGGGACACATGCAGACAGCGCTGAGCCAAGCAGGAGCCACAAATCCTGACAGCAACACATGCACCAATGACTTGAAGTTGTGTCAAAGCAGGTTTAGGTTGGATGTCAGGAAAAACCTCCATGGTTCAGGGCAGGGAGGCAGTGGGAGAGATGCCCAGGGAAGTGGGAGACACTCCATCACTGGAGGTGGTCAAGGAGAGGTTGGGCAGCTACTGGGCTGCGCCGATGCTCCTGCTGGAACCAACACAGCAGGGTCCTGCCCCTCCACTCGGGCTCAAACCGACGCTGCACTGGGGGCAGGAAGGGTGTCCTACCTGGTGCTGTCAGGGATGACAGCAGTTTTACAAAGTTTAGACGATGGATGCGTCTGGGCTGGTTTGGACAGGGCTGATCCTGCCTCAGAAAGGAGTTGAACTGGATGTGACCTCTGCCGGTCTCTTCCAGCCTCACTTCTCTATGATCGCAGGACACAGGAGACCCCGAGGAGCCAGGGGAACAGCGCAGCAGCTGCCTGCACCATTTATTGGAGCCATGGCCCACTGAGAACACAACCAGCAGGCATGGAGCAGGCCCAGGCCCCAACCCTCCCATGGAAAGCCACCTCCCTGGGCAGTCCACGAAGGAGCAGGACTAGGACGGCAACGCCTGCCGCGGCCTGGCATGCTCCAGGCAGCCTCCGTGGTGCCGCGCTGCAGGCCCTAGTTCTTGCCCAGCTCACGGGCCCGAATGGTGCCAGCCTCCACGGCGTTCATGACAGCAGCCCGCAGCCCGCCCTTCTCCAGCTCGTGCAGGGCGTGGATGGTGGTGCCGCCGGGCGTGCACACGTCCGCCCGCAGTTTGGCCGGGTGCTCCCCCGTCTCCAGCATCATCTTGGCTGCTCCCTGCAGGCAGAGGCAAGGTGTGGGGGGGTGCATCTCACAGCACCCCTGCTCCTGCTGGAGCCCGTGCTACGGCCACACGCTCCCTCCTCTCGCACTTCCGTGCCATCCACCCAGCTCGAGGAGCCTGCTGCATGCACTAGGTGGGCGCCTGACCCCTGCTCACGATGCCTCCAAGAGCCAGGCCAGGTGAGGATCAGACCAGGCTGGGACTGGTGACCCGGTGCTGTGCCTGGCACTAAGCCGCACTCCAGCTCCTCTGCTTGCACGGCTTTAACCTTTCCAACAATGTCAGTGCCCAGCATGATAGAGATGCTTCCTCAGCCATTACAAGGCCTCTGCCTGGCTTCCCCCAGCTCAGCCCTCAATGCATCATGCTGACTCCAGCAGCTAGAGCCAAGTGGTCTCCAGTTGCTTGGATCCTAAGGGGACGGCAGCCCAGCTGGGAGTGCCACAGCCCCTCGGAGGAGTCCCCAGGTGGGGAGAGGGAGCCACAGGGAAGCAAGAGGTAGGGACACAGCCAAGGACTTCCCCCCCACCAGAACCAGCCCTGCAGCAGAGGGAGGCTTGGGGCTGGAGGAGCTGGGGACAGAGCGCCCTGGGAAGGGCAGGACAGGGTGTACACTCACCAGCAGGGTCTGGGCAGCGATCCGGCTGGCCAGGGGCCCGGACATGCCCATCTTCACCGCTCCCTCTGCCAGAGCTTCAGCAAACATGTAGACCTGGTGTAGGGGAGAACAGCCCACCATTAGCCCATGGCCGTGAACCTGATGCTTCTGGAGGACGGAGCCTGGCAGAGCCAAGTATCCCGCCCTGCGCTGGCGGCCCCGATCCTGCCAGATCACAGCTTGATCCTGTCGTGATCCTTCGTGGGCTGTGCCCAAGATGCAAAGCGCCTGGTGGAGGTCAGGGCCAGAGCGCTCAGCACCCTCGCTACAGCCAGGCAAGGCAAGAAGTCACGGGGGGCCTTCAGGGGGAATCTCTCCAACCTGCCCCAGTTTAAGGGCCCAGATGGACGAGATGGTTACACCAGCGTAATCTGCCTCAGCTTGGGTGTGACGCAGAGGAGGCCACAAGGCCTGCCGGCTGGGCTAAGTGCCAGGGCCCACGTCAGATACAGTTACCCCAAGAGAGCAAGGGGCATGGCGACATGGGTGCAGGCTGTCCTGGGATAGGTGGCGTCTGTCCAGCTTACTCCGGGGCAACCATTTGCTCCTTTCGCCAATGCTGCTGCTGCTACGCAGCAGTGAGACACGGTCACAGCAGCCAGCTGTATGTAGTTATCTCCCGATAAGGGCACATGTCTGCTCCGATTCACACCACAGCAGGAAACCGATGCAAGTGACACCTAGGCCCCAACCCACCCTGGGGGGTGCTCCCCAGAGCACAGCACGGCTGGGACCCATGCAAGGGTAAGGGTCCTAGGGGGTGACCCTTCCAGCCTCCCCAGATGCCCAGACTGAAGCCGCAGAGCAACACTCGGGAGGTCTTGCAAGAGCCCGCAGTCGGGCCACTGCCGGGGCCACCCCAGCAGGGACGCCCAGGCCCACGGGGTCCGCCGCTGGCACTCACATAGGCCACCCCGCTGCCGCTGAGCCCGGTGTGGATGTCGATGTAGGACTCGGGGACCTCCTCGCACAGCCCGCAGGCCGCCAGCAGGCCCTGCAGCACGGCAGCTTCGCGCTCCCCCGCGCAGCGCCCCCGCGCGAACACCACCGCCCCCGCCTGCACCACGCATGGCAGGTTGGGCATGAACCGCAGCACCTTGGTCCCGGGGGGCAGCATCTGCAGGAAGAGACAGAGGTGGGGCCGAGCCAGGGCAGCGGGGTCACCCCCAGGACCCTTCTCCCGGTGCCGGCAGGGGCTCAGCGCAACTCACCTGCTCCAGGGTCTGCAGCGTGACCCCCGCCACCAGCGACACGAGGACGTGGTTCGGGGTCACGAGGGGGGCGATCTCCTGCAGGACGCCGGGCAGGACGTGGGGCTTGGTGGCCAGGAAGACCAGGATGCAGCTCTGCACGACCTCGCCATTGCTGTGCGTGGTCCTGCAGCCCAGCTCCTGCGCGGGGGCGAGGACGCGGCAGCGTCAGGGGCCCAGGCGGGCATCCCCAGGCCCAGCACCTCCCCTCCTGCCAGCCCCCCCGGTCCTCACACCTGGGCCCTGACTGAGATGCGGAGGGACAGTCTGCACAGGGGTGCGAGTTGCTGCAGAAGATGCAGGCTGCCCCCCCCACACCGCCCCCCCCCACAGACAAACCCGAGTCCGACCTCGGAGCTGCACGACACAGCCCCGGGCATTGCCCCCCAACCCCAGGGTATAGGGGGGCCACGGCCGACAACGTCCTGCTGCTGCCGGGGGGGTCACGGGTGCTGCAGAGGCCGTGCCCCCGCTGCAGAGCAAAGCAAACCCCCCAGTGCAAACCAGTCTGAGCAGGGGGAAATCCCGTCCTGCCCCCAGG